CTCTTCGCACTCTCATCCGCCCGATCAAAAGGATTGGGTTGAGCGATTGTCGGACATTGAGTTGTCATACAACTCATCTATTCATTCGACTATCGGGATTTCACCCTTTGAGACATCGTCGTTGGATAGTATCATTATGCGGACGACCAAGAGTGACGACCACCTTGCCTTAATTCGACAGATGCAAGAGCTCCTTGTCAAGGCACGGGACCAGATGTCGAAGACGCAGCAGCGCATGAGCCGAAAGCCAATCGCCAACATTTTCCCTCCCCGTTTTCACGGGCGATCTCGTTTGGGTCTCCGTTGCGGAATTTAGCCTCGACCACGACATCTCTCGCAAGCTCCTTCTGAAATGGATGGGGCCTTGACGCATTGTAGCGCCCGCTGGCGACGCACCGGATGGGCCCTCATTTGTGATGGAGGTGCCCGCCCACTTGCCCGTCTACCCGGTCTTTCATTGTTCTAGGTTAACTCTTTTCGTTTCAGCGGAACCGGATGACGATCGCAAGACCCTCCTTTCATGGATGTTTTCCAGAAAGTCAGCGACATCATTTCTCAGCGTCGCTACGACAACAAGTCAACCAAATACTTGGTGCACTTTTCATATTGTAGTCATAAGGCTGACCGATGGTTGACCTGTGCGGGACTACAGGCTACGGCCCTCGACGTTCTTGCACGTTACGAACCCAAGCATCAAGGCAAGCCGGCACCTTCGGCTCCACGCCGTACTCGTGTCCAGGTTCCACCTTCGGATCGTCAGCTTCGCCCTCGCCCCGGCCTGACTTCATAAGGAGGGGGGCGCCCGCCACACGGGCCCTGTTTTGGGGGCCCGACGTAGGCCCACAGGTCGTGCACCTATTTTTGTGCACGACCTGGAGGCCCACGGCCACCTCATGGGGCCAGGTACGGTGGCTGTGCCACGCAGGTCCAGTTCTGAGGCAACATTTATTTATTTATGTATTATTGCTTAGCAATGCTGACCCTTTTGTGTGTTCTATTTTTGCCTGCTGCAGGGCGTCATTTTGGACTTTGCAGTATGTCTGAACAGACAGTTATCAGACAATTGTCTGTTTGGACCAGGGCCTTGAGGCCAAGTTCGTGACTGGGCCATTTCAGGCCAGGTTCGGGTTCGTCCGGTAGCGGACATTCCCCTGCTGCATCAGCAGGAGGACCTGGACGTGCGGTAGGGACCCAGGGAGGCCGTTTTAGGCCAGGAACCAGGAGCAGGACTTTGGCCTGTGATCTGGGCCACCGATTGGACCACAGATCCGATGGTCCAGGCTGCAGACCGTGGGCTCTGCATCCAGGCCCAGTGATACTCATAGCTGGGCCAGCCCAGCTCCTGGGACAGTTCGGTTGCTCCATGTTGCTGGAGCAGCATGTGAGTTACAGCGCTATGCTGCATTAGAGGTAGGGGCATAGAGATAGGCAGGGTGGAGGAGAGAGACGGAGGCCATACCTGTGAGGTGATGAGGTCTCACCTGGGTGCCATCGCTGGTCTTCTTCACCGGCGACCTGCAGCACAGAGAGGCATTCCAGTTGTCAGTTCATGGCAGTACCGGGAAGGTTTGATGGGGAGACCCTTGGGGGAAGAGGAAGGCTGTAGGGGGAAGAGGTCGGCGAGGGGCTTGGCTGCCAGGCGCGAGAAGAGCTCCAGCTTGACGTGTTCGTCAAGCAGACATCACTAGGAGTTCATGGAAGGCCCAAAATTCGGGTTTTTTCGCCGCATCACTACAAGCGATGTTTTCAAAACTTTTGCGAACAAACTATGCAGGGTCATAATACAAACACAAAAAGACAAAAAACAAAAAAAACTCAAGAGCACTATAAAACCCTATTTGGAGTAGCTTTCGGAGTTCGCCGAATCTTTCTCCCAGTCCGGTGTTTTTGCCAACTTTTTCGTTACTGGTCCAACCCCTAAAGCACATACATACCGGACCCCCCCCAAAAAAAACAAGAAAAAAGCAAAAATTTAGGGAAATATGGCAGTTTCGGTGGAAAAATCGCCAAAATTCATCGAATTTTGGGCCCTCCATTAACCGCTTCTCATCAATTATGAGCAACACAAAACTCTGCTGCATGATCTTATGGCGTAGTGCAGGCTGTGATAGAAGAGGAAGGCTTAGGATGAAGAGGCAGGCGAGGGGCTCGCCTGAGGGACGTGAGACGACCTCCAGTATGATGCATTCTTCAATCCGGCATCGATGGGAGCAACACAAGACTTTGTGGCATCATGATGGTCTTACGGCGTAATGGAGACTGGGATAGAAGATTGTGTAGGTCGTCATATACGCTGGATAAAAGATAGTGTAGGTGATCATAGACGCTGGTAGAGAGACCAGCAATTTCTCCGAACTGTCGTTACTGTTGTTGTACTGAATGTCGGATGGTGAGAGGGGGGATTTTCTTTTTATTTGTTAACACTCTCACAGAGGCAAGCCCCATATATTCTAGGGGGCGGAAGTCCGTTTGCCTATCACAGGCAAGCATCAAGACAGTGTGTCGACGATAAAAAGTAGGAGAAGAGGAGAGGGGTTAGAGAAGACGAGGTCGAACATGGAAGGAAAGAAAGAGAACGCCCACCCCCTTCAGCTTGAGCCACAGGACCAGGGGGGGAGGTTCACCAACCAAGAGACTTCAACATTGTTTCTTCCTGTGTTGGTGTGATCATTACTTTGCCATTTCTGCTTCTGGTCTGGTTGTGCAATGAACCTCCCTTTACTTGACCCCAAACTCTGCAGGCATCGACAGAACGTTCACACGAAAGTTCACACTAAGCCAGAAGATAGATACCAAATCAGTGCAATTGAATACAAGCAATTATTATATTATACATTGGAAGAGTTCAGGTAGGCGGCGTCCCTTGCCGCTCTCATCAACAATTTGAACCCCCTCCCGGTAAGTACCCGACTCTCTCCCCCTCTGGTGTGACTCTTCCTCTTTCTTGTAACTTGTATCGCTCTGCCTCACCACATTCCGAATTTGTATCACTCACCTCACTCTCTCAATCTCTCTCTCTCCTACAAAGATTGTATACCTGAATACACCCACGGCACTTCACCTTCGACCTTCGTGGCTGTGGCCGCCGCCACCTTACTCGCTAACCCTAGCACCCGCTTTCTCTCTGCCCCTCCCTCGCTACATCCCTCTGCCTCTCCTCCCCCCATCCATATTTAGCGCTGCAACTCCATTTTGCGCGGGGGTGCCATATTGCAAGTGGGACTGACTTTTTGGATGTCCGCTATCGGAAGGAGTAGGTGGGGATCATGCTGTGCATGCGGAGAGGCAGGGGGAGAAGGAACACTACCGATAGGGGGAGGTGAAGTGCCTGGTCATGCAGGCAGGAGAAGGTTGCCATTGAAATGTTGCGAAGCTGGAGTAGCAGGAGAAGGGCGAAAGGGGAGGGTGACGATGCAGGATCAGCAGGATGAGATAGCGGGGTTTTAGTCGGTCAGGACGGGATGCGTCGAAGGAGAAAGCAGGAGGGTCATCACGATAGGGTGAAGCATGCAGGGTAAGTTTGCCTTCTTTGAGGAGGTTGTGGAGGAGGAAGACGTCAAGGCGGGTCCTAGAGTAAATCGGAGGATGTAGGTCGGGGACCCGAAGGGCATGGGCAACAGGGATCGTGAGCGAAGTGATCAGGATGTGGGATCAATGGGAGGAGGTCGGTCAGCCAATCAGGGTGAGAATGAAGGAACCGATGCAGTGCAGGGGAAAGCAGGCGAAGGCAACAGGGTAAGGAATGCAGGTCATGTAGGGGGATGCGGACAAGGTGGGGAATAAGAGATTGCAAAGCAGGAAGAGGATCTCAAAGAGGAGGGGAGGGAGCAGGTAAGGAAGGAGAGAGCAGGATAATGACGAAGGGGCTCAATCACGAGGGGGATGGGGTAATGTAGCTATGCAGGTGATGTAGAGAGAGCAATGAAGAGAGAACGAGTGACAGACAGAGGAAGAGAGGAAAGGAAAGACCGGATCTGCAGGTGCCAGATCGAGTATCGGAGAGGGGATATCGGAAAGGATCCGAACAGAGGAGAGAAAGACATGGAGAAAGAGGGGAAAGGAGAGGCGACAGACACAGGACAAGGAGAGAAGAGCATGGAAAAGTGGATTGATGATCTGGCGGGGGATGGAGGCCGCAATTGAAAGATGGAATCGGCCAGACAAAAGGGAGGCAGTGGAGAAGGAGAAAGGGAAAATGRCTAGAGAGAGAGAGAGAGAGAGAGAGAGAGAGAGAGAGAGAGAGAGAGAGAGAGAGAGAGAGAGAGAGAGAGAGRGCGCATGAGRGAGGGCATTTGATGATTGTTAATGACCGACGGCACCCCACAGCGCAAGAGAGAGATTGAGGGAGGGGAGAATAGCAAGAGAGGGGGAAGAGTGAGAGAGAAGGAGATGGGGAGAGGGACAGTGGAGAGAGTGATCCCAGTGGGATAGTAATCTTCTGGCCACTTTCTTCTCTTCATGGCAGCATGTGCGTCATCACTACAAGTCCCGCCGGAGATGATTCTAAATGTTATACGAGAAAAGAAGAAAAAAGGGTAAGCGATTGACATTTCCATGTGTGCAGGCGTAGCCGCACTGGCTTTACTTGTCATTTATTAAGTGATAATAACAACAAAAGTTGTTGCTGTTATGGCGCAGCTGTGGGTGTTTTCACCTGCAAAATGCAGGTGCCAGGCCGTAGTTTATTTCTGGTCGTCACTCTCTTTTTCTTCCTGTGTCTTTTCTGCCCAATATCATCATTGCAGTTTCAGGTTGGTGGGTTTAACGAGTTGGGTGGAACCTACCATGTTCACCTGAATAGAACGCCCGGTCGTTATAGCCGTGTTTGGTGTAAGTTTCAGTCCAGATACGGCTATAATGACCAGGCGTTCTATTCGGGTGAAGATGGTAGCTCAGTTGGTACACCCATAAACTGTTGAAGTACAGACGTGTGTTCGGATCCGAATGTAAATGACCTGCTCTCCCTCCTTGCTTGTCTTTTGCTGCTTCTATTTCTGCAGATTGCAGGGCTCTTTTGTGGATTATGATGCTAACGACGTCTCTGTATGATCCCGTAGAAGCACAATACTCTGTGTGTTGAAGGACTGCTTTGCAAAGATGCCAACAGAATGTTTAATCCAGAAGTTATTGCTAGCAGGAAGAGAAGGGCGAGTGATGCGGCGGCTTCCTCTAATCCTCCGTTGTTGCATCAGGGCAAGGGGGAGGAGGAGGAGCATGCAGAGCACGAACGAGAGTTTTTGTCGGCTGCGCAGACCATTCTTGATCGTCCAGAATTGCTTGATGTAGCCTTTGTTTGCCAGGACGGCACAAAGGTGAGGGCAAACCGAACGATATTGGCGAGCGGGAGCGAGTTCTTTTCCAAACTGCTTTATGGAGATATGAAGGAGAGTACGATGGACACAATACCTCTTCCTACGGCGAGGGCAGGCAGTCTCCAGCTTGTGATCAACTACCTGCACGGCCGTCGGCTCAGGTGGGAGCCCGGCGTTCGTTGGGATGAAATGGTAGAGCTCTACTCCTTGGCAGCACAGTATCAGGTCGATAGCTTGTGCCAGAGGATTGCACGCCGGGTGCCCATGCTTGGTTCTGCACGTGATTTTGGCGATCTGCTAAACGCAGCAATCCCTAGGCAAGCCGAGGAAGTGGTGAAAGAAGCAGTGAAAGTAATGAACAAGGTGTTGGCCTTCGATTCAACGTCATTCAAGGGGTGGAGCAAGGAGAGCATCAAGTGCTGCCTCGAGAAAGTGCGGTTCCATCCAAATGTAACCGAGACGATGATTGCCGAGGCTGTTCTCTCTGCTGCACCCAACATCGGTAGCAGTACCGTTCGACGAGAGGATTCTCTGGGTCCATCTGTAGTGCGCGATTCGACTCCCGATGACTCCCAGAGGAGCCAGAACCCTGTTGTACTCGGGGCGCCAACGCCGCCAAGTTGTTCAGAAGGTACGGACGACCATGACGCCCGCACAGATGGATCCCTGTCAAGAACGGAGTTGCGGGAATTATTCGAGAGGTACATCAACCTTGCATTCGTTGACCCACCATTCGTGAAGACGAGGATTGAGGCGCTGCAAATTGTACGGCCAGAGGTGCTCTCGGCGGTTTACAAGGTGCAGTCCATCTGCCTCTCAAGAGGATTGTCAGCCAAATCTCTATTCACAATACCATCGCGCTCTCTGAGGCCCAGAGTGTCATTTCCACCTGTGACAGAAGCAGAAAATGCGATCTGTAGTGCTTACAGTGACGTTTTGGTCCCCGTCTTTGTGGGCCCCGGATCCGAAGTCAAGGTACACAATTTCAGAGGAGTTTCCACAGCGTGTTGAGCGCTTACACGGAGATAGTCTGAGAGACATCATGATGCTGCTACCTCTGCACTGTGGCTTGCACATATGGAGAATTCGCTTCAAAACTCCTGGCGATCGAGCGGGTGCTGGCGTCATTTCGTCAGCTGCAACAAACAGCTCAGGTCGTCCCGCAAAGAAAAGTAGCTGGTGTTTGTTTTCTGACCTCACGGTTAGCGCAATCGAAGGTTGGCCAGTGCTTTTCTCCTTCTTTAAGTCAACTGGGATGAAGAAGTTCAATGACTCTGGGGATTCTGTTGTTGTCATCCTGGACATGACCAAGCGAACATTGAGTTTCGCCAATAAACTAGAGAACTACCTCAATTGCCATGGAGAGTATCCAGCTGCCTTTCGTAATCTTCCGATTGACTTGCCACTGCATCCAGCCGTAATTGTCCCCTGCCCAGGTTATGCTGATATAGAATGGATTCAAAGTTCCCCCCGTGCACAATTTGTCCGTTTCAACCTTCGATGAAGATTTGTGGTGTCAGTTCTGGATGCCACCCTACTTCCAGATCTCTCCATCCGTATTGTCTCCTTTCTTTCACTCCCTGTCTTCCCTTGAATAGAACTAATGGTCATTGCAGCTGTATTTGAGGCCGCAGCTTTAAGGCTAGGTACAGCAATAACAACTAAATGGTCTATTTGGGGGAAGATTGTAGCAGCAGTGAGGGATTCAGTCATAGTTTATGACGGAGCACAAAACCAAATCAGAGAGATGTTGGTTCGCATCTTTTTGACCGCTTGGATGTGTCTCACTAGCCGCACACGGTGGTCCTGGATGATGGAACATATCCGTGAAGAACCGCCTTCGTCAACCCATCATAGATGGTTGTTGAGCACTGTGACATTGTTCAGAGAAGCATGATGGTGCACTACACACACACACACACGCACACACACACACACACACACACACACACACACACACA